CAATCAGGGGAAGGGCGGCTATACCTAGAAGAGAGGGCCAGGGCCTGAGCCTTGGGACCTGCCAACAACATGAAGTTGGACGGCTGCAGCTCAGCAAAGAAGGCAGAAGTGGCCACTCGTGAGACAGAGGAATGTGACCCTCAAAGTCTCTGTGCTAGGAACTACTGCCCTGTGTGTGGAAAGGAAGGCGTTCTGCCTTGTTTCTAGGGCTTTTTTGTTGTTTTTCCTTTATTCTTAGCTGCTTCATGTCTTTCTTAGAAATAAGATGGGTATACATTAAACATGACTTTGGTGTGTTATTTAACCACTGATCTAAATGTCCTCATCTATGAAATAGTAATATCATGCCTGAGTGCTAATCTCTTAAGGTTGTAAAAAAATTAATGAAATAATATGGCACAAAAGTAATCTTTACTTGAAAGCTATTAAATATCAACTGAAATGTGGAGAATCTTAAAAATATAAATATCAAGCTAAAGAAATAAAACTTAAGTAAACAAAACAGTTCTTGGGTAAAAAAAATGCCACTTTGCAAATATTTCCTAACAAAACATTTTATAACAAAAATTTTACTTAATAATTCACTCCATTGTGGCAGTGGTGGTGTGTGTGTGTGTTTACTTTTTTCTTCCACAAGAGTGACAGAGAGAGGGAGAGAGAGAGACAGGCACCCCTAACAGGATCTTCATGCCACTGTCTAAACCCAGTCCTCCCCAGCCTGGATCAAAGGCACAGGTGTGTTTGGCACGCACAGGGAGGTTTCAGAACGGGAACCTGGGACCCTATGACGTGGGCCAGTATCCCAGAGTACTGTGTCAGCACTGTGCCACCACTGGCCCCATTGTTTACATTTTGATGTAAATACAGTATAAAGGGTTAAAAAATATTTATATACAGGGCCAGCCAGTGTTGTAGCAGTTAAGGTGGCTATATCCTACAGGGCTGACCGCACAGTTCAAATCCTGGATCTGGTAGGGCTAACCGCACAGTTCAAATCCTGGATCTGGTGGCTTGAAAAATATGCCAGGCGCATGTGTGTGCATACTCAAAATCCCAAGGGGAGGATGGAGGAGGAAGAACTGCAATGTGGCTATACCGCCTGGAGAATGTTTTCTCACTCCCCCCTCCCACAACTCCCCAACTCGGTGAGTGTCTACAGGCTATGACAAACTAAAAAAAAAAAAAAAAAAAAGAAGTAGAAGTGATGTCTCATTGCTTTTTTAGGTGAACCAATGAATGCTGCAGGGGTCCATAACAAAAAATGGTTTATCTTTTGTGTGGTACAGAAGCTATTCTTATATTTTAAAAGAAGGATGGGCTGGCCCTATAGCCTAGTGGTTGAAGGAGTTAAATCCCACATGGTAGATCACATTTCAAATGCTGGTCCAGGCAGTTTGAAAAACACACATAAAAAAATACATATAAGGGAACCAGCAGTTAGCGTAATGGCTATGTCGCTGGACTCCCACGTAGTCGACCGTGGTTCGAGTCCCGGACCCGGTGGCTTAAA